TGTAAGGAAAATGTGCGTGGCCCACCTGGCGGTTGCATACTTACGAGCTGCTCAATAATATTAGCTGGGTGCCTGCCCACGTATATGTTTGCCATACCCATATGGAGGATTGGCGCACGTAGAGCTTGGGCCATGGGCCCACAACCTGAATACATCTCCCATAAGTCTACATATAAATGCTGGAACCAAATTAACTAATTAATCATCAAAGATCAATGGGTAATGGGGTCACCGTGAGAGGCTAAAAAGAAGGCCAGAAAAAAAAGAACACCGAAAGGTTGCTGCGCTGCTTCGTCAACTCACCCACAAAAGCGAAGAGCTGCTGAGCACCGCATAGAAGGAAAGAAAGAGATCACCGCCATCAAGCTGCTGGTGATATCTTCAATTCCCGACTGACGTTGAGTCTAGGGAAGGAGTACTGCTCTCGGAGCTGCTCACAGCTCGTTGCGCATTGAGGCATCAAGGCAGAAAAGGTGTGGAAGCTCCATCGGCTTCTCCCGCCACTGGCTTGGTCATCATGATACAAGCCATATAAGCGCAACCATTTTTATTTTCCTAGGCTATGTGTTCTTCATACTCTCCATGATTTTCTTCATGTGGTTGAAGTTATGTCCCTGTCCCTCTATTTGGTCTTGTTAGGTGATACAAGTCAATGAATGAGAGACTCCATTCTCGAATCTTGGCTTGGTACCTACGATGTGCATAACAAAAATTCCCCACATTTTAGATATCATATGTTCCTCACTCTCCATGATTTCTTCATGGTTGAGGTTACGCCCCCACTATTTGGTTTAGTTAGGCGATACAGGAAGCCAATGAATGAGACTCTGTTCTTGAATCTTGGCTCGGTCCCTACGATGATACAAATAAGGCTGCGTGTAACAAGTTTATTGTCACCTAGGCTCAGTCCTTTATGTGCAAGATATGAGCCTAAGGAAAAACATTAATGTTCTCTATATGTCAGTCATATTATACCCCCATATTTTTATGTCATATGTTTTATGCTCCCTATGATTTTCTTCATGGATGAGATTATGGCTCTGTCTGGCAAGGCGATACAAGTCAAGGAGTGAGGAGATTATGTTCTCGAATCTTGGCTCAGTCCCTACGATGATACAAACAAGGCTGTGCATAATAAATCAATGACATGTGCTACTGCATCCATCTCAAAATAACCGCGCTCAAAATACATACTAGTTGCACTCACTCTTTGGTTTTCTTCTCATGCATGCTAATACCATGACATGTGCTGCTGCATCCATCTCAAAATATAATTGTCATCTCGTCATGCTACGTGCTCAATATTATGGCACTAGACACTAGTAGTAGTGGCGATATAAAATAGTAAACAAATGTTCACTTCAAATTAAAAGAAACAAAATGCAAAATGCTATAAACAGCTTACATGCGGTTTGCACAAATGAAAAAGCTTATGCATGGCGAAATAAACTTAGAGAAATTGGACTAAAGTCTCATCTCCACCCAATTGTTTCACATGTGCATTTGCAACGAGTGGTAACCAAAGCGAATTAAGCCTGCAAAATTATATGGACCACTATGCATATCCACTTCCCAGTGGACTCGAATGGGCATTTAAATAAAATCACACCTTCTAAAATATACTGGTACATAATGCTAGTGTATGAAACAAATATTAAAGACAGCCTCGATGTGGACCCCGCACAAGGAATTGCTAGTGGAGTTGGGTTGCCTTCTCCCTCGCTTTATATTTCAATTTTTCTTTGTTTAGCTTGGGCATTTTTCTTGTGTTCTTCGAGCTTTCTCATGTTTGTTTGTTCATTGTACATATTATTCTCGGTATCTTCATCGTCCTGTTCCTGACTAATGGGTTGTCTTTTGCTTACTTATGGCCTCTTGTTGCTTCGTGGCTTGCTTTTCTTTTTCCTAGCTTTTTGGGTGAGGCTATCTTCTATTCGTTTGACAGTGAACGGATCTTCACGTCTTGATCGGGATCTGGTTACTAGGTTCGTACTTCTTGGGCATTTCCATGTGATTCAAAGCTGGTTGTGTTTCTATGTTTTCAAAATTCCGGATTCTACTTCGTGTCTGGGGCTGTGATGACAAGGGATTTTCTTCGTCATCATCTTCTGCCTGATGGGTTGCCTTTTTCTTACTTGTGGTTGCTTGTTCTTGCTCCATGGCTTGCTTTTCTTTTCCCCTTTCGGGTGAGGTTATCTTCTATTCGTTGCGGTGAAGCGTTCTTCATGGCCTGATCATGATCTGGTTACTAGGTTGGTGCTTCTTGGGCATTTCCATGTGCTTCAAAGCTGGTTGTGTTTCTATGTTTTCAAAGGGTTGGGTTCTACTTCGTGTTTTGGGTTGCAATGACAAGGGATTTTGGGGGAGATTCCTTTGGTGCCATTCTTGGTAGATTCTTGAGCGTATGGGTTGCAACATGAATAGTGCAAAAATTGCTTATCGCTTCACTTCAATACACATCATATCGACATGAAGTAATAACAGGATGAGTCATGCCATTTTTTCTTCGGATATTTCAATTACAGTGATCCCGTATTTATAGGGAGCTAATGGGTCTACTCATAACATTAAAGATAATCCTAGTACGAACTATATTCCCTGAATATTTGGGTTAATACTAGAATTTACATGCCTAATTTGCATTATAGTCTTTGCACCACTCACACCACAAAACCCTAAGTACGACTCCCTAGAACTTCATTATGTTCTACCCTTACACGGTTTGGATCTCACCTTTCCGAGCCAGGTCTCATGCCCTAAAAGATGCTCTTTGGCCATCATTTGGCAGCGAGCCCCTCTATGGTTCATCTCTGTTTTCCAAAGGCCACCATCATCAATGATATTCATTATGTATCCTTCGGCAGTAGACCTCTTCGGGCCATCAGCTTCATCTTTGGCTCTTCGCTCTCCTTCATGCGTCATTATCTTGTATGTTGGCTGAAGTGTAGACCTGAAGAGGGAGTAGCATTCCCTAAGGGCAATCCCCTAACAATGTGTGAAAGTGGTGAAGACAGTGTTCACCAAAGTCAAGGAGTGAGCCAAGGATATAATGTTCCATGTTTTTATGTAATATGAAAATACCAAGTTTTCAAAAAAAAAATGTGTAACGGTGTGTGTCATGTCACAAGCAAGTTAAAACTTTTGCTTCTTCCCTCTTATTTCAAAATTACAAATCAAGGTGTTCAATGTAAAATATTGCATAGTTCCAATAAAATATTTCATAAGTTTTAGAAATTAAAGCCAAACTTTGTTTCTCCAAGAACAAAAATGATTTTAAATTGGAGCTACCTCTCAAATTCAATTTACATTAATCATGTTTTACCAAAAAAACTCACACTCTTCCCCACCCCTATACAATGAAAGTTTGTCAATTATCTTACGAATTCATTCATGTTATGTTATAGTGGGCATATTTATGTTTGTTCCTTTTTGGTTTTATTTGGAGTTAAACTCTCATCAAGATGAGTTAAGAAAAGCCTTTGGTAATGGAAAGCTCCTTCCTAATCCATTTGACCCACAAGCCATCTGTGGCACAGACCGTTTCTCCTCTAGGGCCAAGTCACAACCTGCCCTTCCGCTTGTGGCCTGAACCTGTTGCCAATCCTTTTTCTTTCTCTCTCCCTTCATTCCTCTTCAAACCGGCCTAGCCCGCCTTCCAGTTCTTCCCTGTTGTCATCTCCTTTCCTAAGATGGCCTAGTCCATTAGGCAATGCCTGCACATGATCTAGCAGCAACACCAAAGCCTGGCAATCAGTAACACACCCAGCAGAGCAATCAGCGAAATATGTGCCCTTTACGTACGCACCATAAACAACCATGAGTAGGAGCAAAATCAGCATAAAGAAGTTCTAGGTCAGCTCTGTGCACCATCTCACGGTGGCCGAGGAGGTCACTGATTTCAAAGAGGCCAAGATGACTGGAGAAGGGAATGAGGCCAAGGCCATCAATATTATAACGTATGTGGTGAAATTGCTAGTCACTCACCACGAGATTGTTGTTTTAGTAAGATGGCAAAAGAGTTCAAAGAGAAAGAAGAGACGATAAAGAAAGAAAATGTCCCGTAACATGGTTTTCACAACTTGACTCATCATGCATCCTAATAAAATAGCAGGGCCCTTTGGGATATTGGAGGCAATGTTTCCCGTAGGCCCCATTGTCCTATTGTGTCCCTATGCATGTAACATGAATGATATTCGAAAGCGAGGACAGTATTTCACTAGGTTTTTGCTAAGAATATATGTGTGTGTGGAATGACCAAAATATGAAGGCTATTCTTTACTTGGATCACTAGAAGTCATGACTATTTTTATGTTGGTGTCATCTCACCATGTGCGCATAAAGGCGCACGTCGAACAAATGTCATTGTATATTGTACGCAGGCTGTTGATTGAATTTGTGTGTAGTAAATCTTGGTTGATCACCTTTCATGGGTTGATAGTGGAACTGGGTTGCACTATTTGAGTGCAATCTAATGACTTCTTCAATCGCAACATGTGTAGCACCGAAAGGCTATGATTATTAAGCTTGCTACGCATGGACAATCCAGGAAGCAATCCACCCATGGTAGGTGGGAGATTTTTTTGTTTAGAATTCATATCTTCTAGCTTAGGATTTCATTAATGTTTATTGCTCAAAAATACTAACATATCTTGCATTTAATGAATTACAAGAGCAAATAAATAGTTGTATCTTCTAAATGATGAATTAATGAATACAAGATTACACATTATGATATGGATTCAACACAACCTCAATATAAAACTACAGAAAACCCACTTCCGCAACTAATGCGTGTTCTCATTTCTCAAATAGAATCTTGAAAGATTAGTTAAATAAATGGGCCACATTAATTTTGCATATCTTATATGTGATGAATGGGCCACATTAATTTTGAGTATCGACATTCCTAAAACCCCTATAAATAGGTATGTAGTGTACCCCCTTGAACTATATCCTAACATAGGTCTGCCTTCCTGTCAGACACTAAGAACCTAAGAGTCATGGATTCCCACAAGGATATCAAACCAGTAGAAAATGAGCCCTTTGTTTCTCCCTTGCATGAGGTGTTGAGAGGCACGGCAGCAATGCCCATCATAGGTTCAACATTACACAACCAACCTATTGTGCACACACCACAAGAACCTACCCATACATCGATGAATGGCAATTTTATCTACCCATACCAAGCAGAGGAACCAACATCGCTGCCATCACTCTATAATCATACAGCTGCTACCAGCGGAGACCCAATCATCTCCAGTCCATTTCATTCCAAGCTCCCAGCGAGCTCATCTAGCAATCAGAATGCATTCTTGTCAGAACGAGATTTTCTGACAACGCCAGTAGGTGATTACCTCAACTTTTCTGATCCTATGAGGATTAAGTCTATGGATCCACCACCACTCACATCCTTGCTCCAAGGTAATCCTCTTGCGGTTCTCCATGCACACTTTAATACCATCGAAGAGGTAGACCTTGGCCCAGTCTTTGAGCAACCTACACAAGTGCCAAGTGAACCACCGATGCCGACGAGGGAAGTTGTTGGCGCTTATAATAATATTGTGCAGAGAATGCCACACTCTACATTGGAAAATGAAAAAGGAGGGGTTGAATATGTGTGCAGGATCTGCTCTGCAAAATTTTTCTCAGGACAAGCATATGGTGGACACATGAGCCACCACAGCAAAGTTAAGAAAAAGGAACAAGCTAATTCCATATCTTAAACTGGTGCGCAAAGAATATGAAGGGCATATGCTATGGTTATTTGGCACCAAGTTATGAGTGTTTTCACTAGTCAATAATCTGATGATCGACATTGAGCAATTGCCTATGAACAATTTATCTGTAATTTTTAGGATCTAAGAAGCATAAATGTTCGAAAACTGGGGGTGATTCATGTTTTAATAATATGCTTCTATGTATCTGGCTCAAGTTATGTTGTGTACTCTATTTTATAATAATATGCTTTTATTTCTTCTATGATGACCGTAATCACAGACGGGTAATACCCGCTTGTGAAGATACTTAAGAACCCGTATGTGATCGATTACATCACAGACAGTGTCCTGACCCATCTGTAATGATGTTTCATCACAGAAGGGTAATAACCCGTCTGTGATGTGACATTGTGATAGTTCATCATAGACTCCAATACTCAGATGGTTGTATCATCTTTATGTGATGCATTTACGACCTATCTCTGATGTAGTCTATAACATAAACAGGGATTTGCAGTGACCTGTCTATATTTGGTTCGGACCGACCACTATAAGGCCTATCTCTATGCAATCTCTATCTCAGATGTAGTTTTAAATCCCCGTCTATGTTTTGTTTAGTTCACATACCAACTGCTATAGTGCCCACATCTACGTGCAGTCAAAATCTCAGATGTAGTTGTTTCAAATCCCCATCTGCGATGAGCAGCGCCCATAGAATGAAGCCGTTTGATCAGAGATGTGCATTCTTTATTCAAGTCACTGATCAAGCGGCATCAGAATGATCAAGTTGCACAAGATCATTGAATTTCTCAGTGAGCACATTCAGTCGTGAGAATATTTCATCAGCATATCTTTATGATATCAAGTTGCACAAGATCATTGAATTTCCCAGTGAGAACATGATATCTTTCGTTTTATGCATCCTTTGTGTCATCATGGTTCTCAATGGTGCTTTGCACAATATCATGCATAAACAAAAACACAACTGAAAATAGGAGCATCAAGAGATGCTACAAGGATGCCCCTTTTAACCTTTCTTTCTTCATCATGTAATGGACAACTTTCATTTTTTATCAAATGATGATTGCATCTGTTATGCAACATAAAAGATACAAATAATGCATTACATGGATGACAGCATCAGACTCATGAAATAAATTCCAAGAGCTCTTTGTCCTAAATATGCCCATACATGCAGAACACAATAAAAACCACACTTATTTCCCAAATGGTAACTAACTAGATAGAAAAAACTAATTTGATCAACAACATAATTGAAATTTTGTCAACTATCATCATGGCCCATATCACCAAGATTATTGCCTGTACCACCATCGCCAGGGCTTTAAGGTCTAATAAGGTCTGCTGACCCAATCATAAGTTCCTTGATTAAGGCCAGAAGGACCAGGCATGTCGTGACCACCAGCATCTTGTCCTCCATAAGCACCATAATACAGATCATTGGAAGGACTAAATGAATTCCATTGGTAACTGGCATGGCTTCCCTCAGCTGGGTAACTGTTCCCCTCAGCGCCACCAGTAAAAAGTGAAAGATCATTATTTTCTAAGATCGAGAGAGTATTAGTGTCATGACTTTGAGGTGGCAGCACCGGATTTAAATTCAGTGCTTGGAAAGGAAGCTCAACTTCTAGAGGTAGATGTTCTGATGAGGGTGGTGGTGGCGGTGGCGGCACTGAGGATAGTAGAGACGGTAGCCAGAAATGTCCAGAGGGGTTACCGTTGATGACCAACTGCTGGCTATGATCGTTGTACTGATGTGCTTCATTAGGTAGTGGCAACATATCCGCTACCCAAGGGTGCTGTGGCATCAGACTGTGTTGTAACGGGGGCACTGGTGGTGCTTGTGGTGAGGGCAGCGTGGTTGAGTTCAGAAGTGAGGACTGCAACCATGATGGCTCTGGAATAGCACTAGACGATCTTGGAATCTGCAAAGGTTGTACAGAAGTCCATGGCAAATGTCTTGGTGGCACCTGGATTTGTGAAGCACGCACCTGATCTTCAATCTCTTGATTGATCCGTGTGAGCCCATGTAGCAGCTCATTGAGCTCGTCGACACTAAGATCATCTATCTCACCATAGACAAGCTTAGCAATCTTTGAAGTTTCTTGAATTTCCTTGGAACGTGCCATAGAAACCCTCATCCTCCTGTCCTGCACGTCCTTGAGATTACCTAGCCGGACTAGCTTATTTTCTAGAGAAATGGTGTTGGCCTTTTGTACCTCATTAGGGATTCACTACTGGATTCAGGTTCTTCGCCGAGTGCCTGAGGCACTCGGCAAAGGCTATATTGCACTCGGCAAAGCCTTTGCCGAGTGTGGCACTCGGCAAAGCACACACGGCAAAAAATTGATCGGCAAAGCACTCTTTGCCGAGTGTATTTTATCGGGCACTCGGCAAAGGCTTTGCCGAGTGCCCCGGAAACACTCGGCAAAGAAAAGCGACCGTCACGGCGCCGGTTCCGTTGACGGTCACTTTGCCGAGTGTCAACCCTGCCGGCACTCGGCAAAGATTTTTTTAAATTTTTTTTAAAACTTTCTTTACCGAGTGCCAACACGTGAGGCACTCGGCAAAGAGCTTCTATTTTTTTTTTTGAGAATTTTCTTTGCCGAGTGCCAAACCTCCATGCACTCGGCAAAGCCTTTTTTTTAAAAAATTCTTTGCCGAGCGCCAACCCGGAAGGCACTCGGCAAAGAGCTTTTATTTTTTTTTTTGAAAATTTTCTTTGCCGAAAGTGCCAAGCCTCGTGCACTCGGCAAAGATTTTTTATTTTTTTTAAAATTATTTGCCGAAGCGTCAACCCAAGAACACTCGGCAAAGAGCTTTTATTTTTTGGAAATTTTCTTTGCGAAAGTGCCACCACCTCGCACACTCGGCAAAGTTGAAATTTTTTTTAAATTTCTTTGCCGAGTGTTATAATCATAGCACTCGGCAAAGCTGGAAAATCTGTTTTACGGTCGCCCATTTTGCCGACTTTTTGAAAGTGTTTTGACCATTGCGCTCGACAAAGGGTCCTTTGCCGAGTGCAACACTCTAAACAAAGTGACCCAAAACGGCAAATAATTTTTTTTATGTTCCATCATGACAAATACATTCATACAAACATATATCACATATATATCTTATCCATCACATATATATCTCATCCATCGCATATATATCTCATCCATCACATATATATCTCATCCATCCACACATCCATCCGCCCATAACACATCCATCACAATATGTAATAATAAGTGCTCAAGTCCATCCAAATAAGTTTACAAGTTCATCAAAGTCCACAAGTGCATCACAAGTCCATCACCAAGTGAACAACAAATGTAAAAAATACAACATGCACTCATCTCGGCCACTGCGACTGTGGTGAAGGCCCAGTGCATCATTCAGAGGTGCATGAGGTGGATTATTGAACCACCGCCGGATGGAGCTGCACAAAGGAGAAAAGATTGCATGTGAGACAAAATTATTTTGATAGCTAATCTAGGACGATAGAGGCCATACAAGCAAAGCACAAGTGAAAGTAAAAAACTTTGATACTCACAGGAGTAGCTGCAGCTGCAGGACGCGGAGGCGGAGGTGGAACCAACAGCCAGTGCGCGAGACAAGCCCATACGTTGCCCAAGCCCTTGTAGAAAATCCGTAATGTCCATCACCTCTGCGCTGGGCTCGCTGCCGCCGCCGCCCTTCGGCCTCAAGCGGGCCCCAGCTCCGACGTTCCTTCATTTCTTGTTCTAGCTGGCCTGCAATATTTCACTCCAATGTTTGATAATGCAAAGCTAATTAAGGTGTGTAAAGATCAATGTATGACGAGTAAAACAGAATAACCTCGAGTGCGTCGACCGGTCTTTGTCGTGATCGGCCGTCGGTCGTGCTGCGAATGGCGGGCTCGCTCGTGCTCGTGCTCGGATCTGGGAGAGAGAGGGAGTAGAGGCCGTGTCGATGACGCCGCCGCCAAGCCTGGCCGTCCATGCTTCTTGCCTTGCCCGCCCTCATGACGGCCTCTCCATCGAAGTCCTGTGTGCTCGGATCGTGGTTCGCCCCATGGAGCGACCTCGCCACCTCGGATGTACTCACGATGCGAGAGTGGGCCGCCGGGTTCGTGTATGCCTCGGGCGGGTCCTCGAGTTGAAGGAGGCGTCGGACGTCGCCTTACCCTTGTGGGCCATACACCATGCACGGAAGTCCGAGCAAACTGGCCACTATGTGACGCCGATCTGCGAGAAAGACAAAGACGATGATTAGAAATCGACAGAATCGAAGCGTGACAATAGATAAATCAATTCGCGTACCCATGCTTGTTTGTATCCGGCGAGGTTGCGGCTGCCTTGATGGTGTGCTGGACCTTGCATCGATGGCGACGGTCCGGGCATCCCTATGCATCTTGAGGTACTCCTCCGTGAACCACATCCACCATCATCGCCCAGCACTCGGGATACGCTTGGCACCACCAGGGAATCACCTACACGTCATCAAGTATTGGACATATAAGAAGATCAAATTAAACCAACTTAATCTCAAATTGAATCAATGTTGATGTTCTTCATTTACCTCAAGGTACTTGCTCCGGGTCATTTGCATGTCTCTTGCGTCTTTCTTGGTTTTCCTCTCTCCAAGCTTCGACCCGTCGTAGTAGGTTACGATGGCTGGATGCGCGCCTCGTGATGCATGTCGGTGTGAGAGTTTTTTACAGCTTTGGTAGTCTTTGCTCATACGGCCTCAAATCCCTCCTCGCATCGTAATAAGTGCGCATACAAAAGCGATGTATCGATTCATTATTTCAAGAAAAGTCTAATGAATGCGACGTATTGAGCAATGTTGTGCAAGGAGACTTACCCAAAACTCTCTGCCTTCACCCGCGCCGCCTTGTTGGGGTACTCCGCATCGGAGGCGGCGACGTAGTGGTCAAGCGAGTAGGCCGGCTCCGTCTTTCGGCGCGTCACGTGACAATGCCGGGAAGAAGTCTTTGCTGCACTGAAGACCCAGGATGCCGTTGACTAGCCGTGCGCTACCACCCCAAACACAACCACCCGGTTCTGCACGAGTAATTAAGAAAAATTATTAGTTTTTTTCATATCATATGAAGTAGTGGTGATAACATATCTGATTACTTACTTTTGTCCTTCGGGCGAATCGGTGGGCATTGGTGACGAAGTGGAACTGTGGGAGACTCGCGGGACCTCGCAAGTAGACACTCGAAGAGGAGTTGGAGGAAGCGAGAACCGTGTGCTCGCCGCCTCCCCTCCTCCTCCTCCGTCTGCCGAACCAACTCCTCGTCGACTCTGGTCACGGGCGCCACCTCCTCCCAATGGTGGCGGTCCTCCTCACGTGGCGTGGGAAAGGCGGCCCCCTCCTGCGGCTAGCGGTCCTCCTCCTCTGCTCGATCCTCTGCTGCCCCCTCCTGCGACCGGCGTTGTTCTTTGGTAAATCGAGTTCACAGACCTATGACGGTCGCCCGCCATCTTTGTTCAATCACCTGCAATAAAAAAGAAAAACAAGACATAATTAGAAATAGGTGCAAAAATAAACAAAACATAATTACAAAAAATATAGTATTACATGTACTAGAAATATATGCAAAAATGAACAAAACATAATTACAAAAAATATAGTATTACATGTATTAGAAATAATCTTCATGATTGAAATTAGATGGATCATAGGTCTCGTCATCACTATCAACATTGTCCAACTCATCAACACTATCCGAAGGAGGAATGTTGTCTTCATTGTCATTGCCGAAATGTAATCGCTCAAGCATTTGTATATCCTTCAGATTTCGCACCTCGTCTCCAGCGTCCTCGTCATCATCCCTTTCATTATCTACTTCCATTCCTATCTCTTCGGTTAAGTCTATGTCAAACCTCCCTTGTAGCCCCTCTTCTTGATAGAACTCTCCATCATATGTGTTTGGGTTGAAGTTATAATCTTCATCGTTTGGGACAGGTAGTTTACCGTGTGGCGATACATTGTGCACAATAGACCAACCCTTAAGATGCTCGGCGTCTTTGCACGCGTATGACGTATAATAAACCTGGACGGCCTGTTGAGCCACAATGTAGACATCTTTTCTGGATAGAGCGGAATCTCGTCGAATCTCGACTAGCCCGAGCTTAGGGCTCCGTCTCGTTACACCGAGGATGAAACCAGTGGCATTTGAATATGGTCGAGTAAGAGGTTTGGAACCATAAAATGATATTTCGTAGATTTCTTCAATTCTTCCATAATAGTCGAGTCCATCGGTCAAGCGTAACAACTCCATTGTTTTGTGGTTTGTCGATTGGGCCGACTCGCTTTCGTAGCTTGTCGTGAAAACGATATCCATTCACGTCATAACCGGTAAATGACTTGACCCTAACGGCACATGACCATTTGCAACCTGTCTTAACTCATCACTTATAGGCGCATCGGTTTGGGCTTTCTGTTTGAACCAACAAATGAAATCGGGGCTCCCTAGTCCGCACCCCCGTGAAAGAAGGGTATCATTTTCTTGCGGTGTAGGTTGCCTTGATCCATGCCAGATTGACGAAGAAATTCCCCTGTACCAACGAGAAACAAGGGGTTGGACGATGAAACAAGGACATACTGGCGAAATGAAACAAGTTCGTTTAGAACTTACCGAATGAACAGTTGCACCTCGACAAGGTTGGTCAACACATACTGACATGATCTGCGCCACTCTTCATTTTTCAATTGCTTAATGGTCGATGCGATTGCGCTTCCAAGTTGCCCTTGAAAAGGGTGAGGTTCGATTCATTTTCTCCAAACATTGTAACGAGGGGTGGATTATGAGCGTTAGGAAGTTTCTCGGTGTAGTATTTCTCTGTGAAGTTCGACACCTCCTCTAGAATGTATGCCTCGCAATGGAAGCCTCAATTTCGCTTTATTTCTACATTTTTTACGAAGAGTCTTGAGACATCTCTCGATTGGATAGCACCAACGGTTCGCACGGGCCCCCATCCGTGCCTCATACGGGAGGTGCACAATCAAATCTTTGCATCGACAAGAAGCGGTGGTGGAAAGATCTTTCTAACTTACAAAGCAACACGGGTGCCGCTTTTCCAAGTCATCAATGACGGTCCGAGAGAGCTCCTTGGCACAAAAGTGGCGGAATAAGTAGCTCAACTCTGCCCAAGACTTGCCG